ATTGTCATCATTATGACTTTCTCAGTTCTGTTATCTCCAGACATTATTTCAATTTTATCAGTATTTCCTGATAGGATTTATTTATTTATTTTTGTTTTCTGCTCTTCTTTCTATTCTCAAATTATTTGCCTGGAAAGAACATAGTAGAATTTAAAGAAATGAAGGGAGCCATTTAAGTTGGGTAGACTATTGAAAGGGCATAGAAAATTGTAATTAGGATGGTTTAGTCTAAATTAGATTAAGCTTATGTTGCAAGTTGTTATAAATGATCAAAAGGTAGCCAAGCAGAAGACATCAGAATAGGGTTTAGGGACTAGAATAATCCTGTATAATAACTGTTTTAATGCTTTATTTTTACCTTTGCTCTACAGAAAGAATGTGTTTTGTTTTGAAATCCTTAAATTATTATTTTTTTACAGTATGCATTGAAAAAACCATATGGCGTTCTGTATAAAAAGTAAGTCATGATTTCTTTCTTTTTTTAAAAAAAAATATTTTTATTGATTTCAGAGAGGAAGGGCAAGGAAGAGAGAGATAGAAACATCAATGATGAGAGAGATTCAATGATGGGCTGCCTCCTGCATGTCTCCTACTGGGGATTGAGCCTGCAACTCAGGCATGTGCCCTTTACCAGAATTGAACCTGGGACCCTTCATTCTGCAGGCCAATGCTCTATCCACTGAGCCAAACCAGCTACGGTAGTCATGATTTCTTTTACTTTATACAGTAGGTCCTCGGGTTACGTCACAGATCCGTTCCTACGGCGCAACATATTTTCACTGTGAGTCGGAACCCACCTACATAAGCACCTACGTCACTCACATGGAGCACATATACAGCAATAATGAAGTGAAACAGTAAAAAAAATTTAAAAGAAAGATAACAATTCCTGACCTTTACTTGTGGTAAATAAATTATAAAAAACATAAAGCACATATGTACATACGTCGAAATGATGGAACTTTTTTTTTTTTTTTTTTTTTACAAATAAATGGGAGATGGCGCCGTAACCACGGAACAACGTACTTCGAGTCCGACGTAACCCGAGGACCACCTGTATTATATTACTCTGTCCCTTCACTCTCAACCTGTGTGTGTCTTTTGTTTTGAGGTGGGTCTCTTGTAGACAGCATATAGTTGGGTCATGTTTTTGTATCCATTCAGCTACCCTATGCCTTTTAATTGGAGTATTTAGTCCATTTATATTTACGGTTATACAGTGGGGCCTTGACTTACGAGTTTAATTCGTTCCGTGATGGAGCTCGTAACTCAAATTACTCGTATGTCAAATCATAAAGTGAACGAGTGAGACACGTGATGCTGGGCTGACGTTGTGGCATTTACTGTGACGTTCGCTGCGCCAACTAGCGGTGGGGTATCTGAAGCTGGCTCGTAACCCGAATTTTAGCTCGCAACTCAAAGCAAAAATCGGCCGAGAGACGGCTCGTATCTCGAAAAACTCGTTAGTCGGGACACTCGTAAGTCAAGGCCCCACTGTAATTGATAGGTACTTATTTATTGCCATTTTAATTCTGTATGGCTAGGTTTCTCTCTGTTTCTTCTTTTCATTACCACAATCCCTTTAACATTTCTTATAATGCTGGCTTGGTGGTGATGAACTCCTTTAGCCTGTTTTTGTCTGGGAAGCTCTTTATTTGACTGTCTATTTTGAATGATAGCCTTGCTGGATATAGTAATCTTGTCTCAGATCCTTGCTTTCCATTACCTTGAGTACTTCATGCCATTCCCTTCTGGCCTGTAGAGTTTCTGATGAGAAATCAGGTGTCAGCCTTATGGGAGCTCCTTTGTAGGTAACAGTTTTCTTTTCTCTTGCTGCCTTTAAGATTCTCTCTTTGTCTTTAATTTTTGGCATTTTAATTATGATGTGTCTGGGTGCCGGGGCCAGCCCCGGGGGTCCAGGGGTTCCCAAAGGTGTGGATGGAGTCGGCGAAGAATGTTTTACATGGAGACAGCGTTCAGAACTCTCTAGCTCTCTTTAGTCTCCGTGGATCTTCCTGTGCCTGGCTGAGGCCACAGAGAAAGATCCCGAAGCAAGCTGAGCCTTTATTTTATAGTCAGAGGTAAACAAGGTAGTGGTTACCAAAGTTACACTGTTCTTGTGAGTTTCACTTGTTTTTGTTCTTGTTCTTGCTGCACTTCCCTCAGCCCATTAGCTTCCCAGATAAGATAGATCTAGGGAGCGTCATAAGGTCAAGCCTAAATATGCTAAGAGGACTGTGCCCTCTAAGCTGGGACTTGTTTGTGACTTTGCCAACAGGTCAGTCCGAGGCTTAATCCTATATCGGCTCCCCACATCTGGGCAGGCCTGTTTGGGTTCTTCTTGTTTGGGCTTCTCTGTGCCTCCTGAACTCGTGTGGCTTTTTCCTTTACCAGGTTAGGGAAGTTTTCTGCCATTATTTCTTCTAACACCTTCTCTATGCCTTTCTCCCTTTCTGTCTCTTCTGACACACCTGCTATTCTAATATTGTTGTTTCACGTTGTCCCATGGCTCCCTTAAGCTGTCCTCCTGTTTTTTTTTTATTGTTTTTTCTTTTTAGTTTTCTGATTGAGTAATATTTTCAGCTGTCTTCTAATTCACTGATTTGATACTCAGCTTCCCCTAATCTGCTGTGTATTCCTTCCATTGTGTTCTTTATTTGTGTTATGTCATTCTTTATCTCAGACTGTTCTTTTTTCATAGTTACTATATCTTTTTTCATGCTGTTGACAATGTTTACCATCATTACTCTGAACTCTGTTTCAGATAAATTTCTTATCTCTGCTTCATTTATCTCTTCTGGAGAATTCTCTAGTTCTTTCATTTTGGGGTTGTTTCTTTGTCTCCTTATTTTGGCTTTCTGTTTGGTTTTGTGACTCTATCAGGTAGATCCTCTACACTGCTCAATCTCTAATGCAGGACAAAGTTAAAGGCTGTTTCTGACTAATTAGATGAGGCATAGATTCAAAGCCTCCAGAGATCACCTCTGCCTACAGACTGATAGGATTCCTACGTGAATTGCCCCCCAGGCAATTGTCCTCAGATATGGCTAGAGTTTTTTCAACAGGGTGGGGCAGTTGCTTTTGCCTGGAGTCTAATTGTTATTTTTAATCTCTTAAGTGGCCTTAGGGCAAGGTGTTTTCCAGTAGGGTGTGTCAGCTGTCCAGGCAAGGCAAATGTCTGTGGGATAGATGTCCTCTGCTGTGTGAGGGAATGACTCAGCCCAGGAAACTTGGGATATCTGCCTTCTGAGCTCTAACCCCCAAGTCCCCAATCCTGCCTTCTGCTCTCACAGCTCCAGTCCACTTCTCCCTCCCTTTGCTGGAGTACAAGGTGGGTGGCTCCACGGGGATTTTGTGCATTGGCCCTTTAAGAGGGTGCCTGAGTTTTCAGCTGTTACTCCCTGGCAGACAGCATCCTACTGCTTTTCACAGCCAGATGTTATGTGGGTACATACCGTCCTCAGTTTTGGTGCTTTCTGCTGGGGAGCCCAGCTTCAGGATCAGATCCCAGAGTTCTCAGTGGCACCCCCCCCCCCCCCACAGCTGAGACATCTCCCCCGGACTTGGGTTGCTGTCTGTGGGTGCCCAGCCAGCCCTTTCGGGCCTCCACCCCTCCTGCCAGTCTCTGTGCGATCTCCACTTTCGGTCCTTGGGTGTCAGGATTCTCTCCTGCGAGGTTTCGGTTGATTGTCAGGAAGGTTTTTCTATATTTTAGTTGTAATCCCAGTTTGTTCCTGGGAGCATGTCCATTATATTACATTACTTTGGTATGAAAGTAACAAACAACCACTTTATGAAAGATTTAGAAAATTAAAAAAAAAACAATCACTATAGTTCCTTACATATAGCTATTTGTATTTTTAAATTTATTTATTTCCATTCCGTCTTCATTTGTATTTAATGTTCTTACATCACTGTAATAGTAGCATGTATATTATTTACAGAAAAGTTGCAAAAATTGTAGCATTTCTATATGTCCTTCACCCTGCTTCTTTCTCTTTCTCTTTCTCTTTAAAAATATGTTTGTATTGATTTTTAGAGAGAGAGGGAAACATCAATGTGAGAGAGAAACATCTATCAGCTGCCTCCTGCATGCCCCCCTACTGGGGTTTTAGCCTGAAACCCTGACATGTGCCCTGACCTTGAATTGAACTGTGACCTCCTGGTTCAAGGGTCGACACTCAACCACTGAGCCACACTGGTCAGGCTGTGTCTACATCTTTAGCCACCTTCATCCCTTTGCTCTTTAAGCTCCAGTGACACTTGCTTCTTTCTGTTTCTTGAGTAGATTAAGCTTGTTTTCATCTCCGAATCTTTGCTTATTCTATTCCTTCTTTCTGCAGCATTCTTTTTTTTTTTAAATTGATTTCAGAGAGGAAGGGAGAGGGTTACAGAGTTAGAAACATCAATGATGAGAGCGAATCATTGATCTGCTACTCCTGCATACCCTCAACAGGGGATCAAGCCCGCAACCCAGGCATGTTTCCTGACTGAGAATCAAAACTTGACCTGATTCCTAGGTTGATGCTCAACCACTGAGCCACACCAGCCATGCTCCTGCAGTATTCTTAACCTGAAAACGTTTCTATGGCTAACTCCTCATTTTTCAGGTCTTGGCTTAAATAGTAATTTTCCACTTTTCACACTGACACAATACCCTATTTTATTTTTGTCAGTTGTTATTTTTTGAAATTGTTGAAAATTTCCACTAGAATGTAAGATCCAAAAAAAGCAAGGCTCTTGTTTGACATGGTATTATAGTATCTCTAGCTCCTAGAACAGTGCCTGGCACATAATAGGTACTAAATAAACATTTGAATGAATGAATATCTGTCTAGTTTCTTTTTTTGATCATCTGAATATAAAATTACATTTGTTTATATGTTAATTATCATGGCAAATTACTTATTAAGATTATTAAAATTAGTCTCACCTTTTAAAAAATATTTGTAGGAAAAATATTACGAGACCATTTGAGGATCAGACATCCTTGGTAAGTATGAAAATCTGATTTAAGAGATGCTGTGATTACTCAGACTAATTTATTTAGTACTCATAGATGATTTTTTAAAATTAGAAATCATCCTACATGAGAATTTTGATGTAAATGGAGGGGAAATAAGACTACTATACTCAGAATATGTCTATAGATATTACATTTCACTATACCTAGTACATATTAACTTCTTGCAAGTCTGTTGATAGAATTTTAAAAAATATAATGCATTTTAAGTGCATAATTCATGGATTGTCAAAAGAAGCTTGTTACGAGTATTTTTATAAAGCAAGTTTGATTTTTAAAAAATCTGACTGAATGTTTTTAGAACAAGCAACTCTACTTGAGTTAATTGCTATAAAGATCCTTAAATATTCACTATCTGGCCTTTTGCACATAATTTGACAACCCTTGCTGTAGAATTTTAACAAAAAGTGGGTTTTATGGAGAAGAATAATAGCGGTATTATATGTATGTAAAGGTAATTATGGAAAGCTTGGGGTGTTAGTCATAACATAAGAATATTAAAAAATAATTTAAGAAAGCATTTTTATCGACTTGGTCTTTAAAAAAACATTTTTGAACACCTGCTTTGTGCCAGACATAAGGTTCTTTCACATCTGACAAATCATGTAGTCCTTGCAGATTTTTGCATGAGGCATTACTGTCCCTGATATATACATGATAAGAGTAATTCTCAGAAAGGTGACCAGATCCCACTGAAAATGGCAGAGCTAGAATTCCTGGACTTTCTGACTCCATCCCCCACATGGGGAGTGGATAGGCAATAAACACTGGAATGAATGATAACAAAAGTAGGGGCCCACATCTTAGGGAGTCTTGTTACCAATAAAGAAAAGTTGAAATCGTTGGAAACACCTCACATATGTTGCTTCCTTTATTCACAGAACTGTGTGTTAGATCTGTGGAAAGGAATTACAAGACAGCTGCTAAAACTGTGAAATACCTAGTAATCTAATTTTCTTAATCTTAGGTATTTTGTATATCCCGAAGATCTGTACTGTTCTAGGGGGTGATAGCTTAGGAGTGAAGATGATTTGAACTTAATGTTTAGAGGGTGTCTGAAATGAAAAAACCAGGCAGATCCATCTACTCAGACCCTAACCATGACCCTTAAGTAAATTGCTTGAAGAAATTGGTTCCCAGTGATTATAGGTGGAGAGTTTGTACAGTATGTCCATATTCAAGTGTAGATCAAAGAAGCTGAACTAAAAGGATTGTGGACTGACTGAGACGACAACTGGATTGTGCAAAAAAGGGATTAAGACTCAAACTCAGGAGGAACTAAGGCAGTAGAAGGACTCAGAACGTGAAATTCCTTAAATAAAAATTTATTAACTTTAAATAATTGTGCCTATGTTACAAATAATAAAAGCCCTTTATACTTAAAAAAAAGAAACATTAAGGATTATGATTGTTTTATCTGTTCTTTAATGTTTTGTCATTAATTTAAGAACGTTTTCCAACTATACTAGAGCACAGTGAATCTAATTTTTGTGCTGAGATTGGGCATCTCAGTAATCAGTCAAACTATGTGGGATGTAGTGAGTATATGTATCAGTCAGTATAAAAGGTGCTGTCTTGGATAATTGTTTCCACTCTCAAATCTGTAATGGAAGTCAGTACTTTGGAGAGCCCAATGGGAGGGATATTTCTTACTGGCAGGAGCAACATAGGTCTGTTAGTCAGGCCTTGCCGGGTACACAAAAGGGAACTAGTCCCAGCTGGGGTGGCGTGGAGAATCGAGGGCAAGATTCCTGTGTGGATGAAGTTTGTAATGAAAAGTAGATATATACATTGTAAGCTCATGAGTCCAGTTATAAATACCTAAAAACACCATGCTGATTTATGATAGTAGTAATGTCCTATGAGTAAAGGCATTTCTTCAGCAAATGAAATACTTGGTGTGCTATTTCAAAATAACTGCATAGCTAAAAATGTATGTGGTCTCTATTTATTAACCTAATAGTTTTTATATATTTTTAGTTTTGAACTTACATCTTTCCCCTACAAGCCCCAAATCAGAAAATTTGAAGTTAAAGGTAGAAATAAAGTCCTCTTCATTTGTTTAGTCCCACATAGTTCATTAAATCTCCATTAACTTCTACTGAAAAAACAAACTGATAACATATTTTTTTTTTAGTTCAGAGGTATAATTCTTAAGTTTCTTATTCATTGATTAAATGGGATTTCTTTGGTTTTATAGGAATTTTTTTCAAAGAAGTCAGATTGTTCTTTATTTATGTTTGGCTCCCATAATAAGAAGCGGCCAAATAATCTAGTAATAGGTAAGTATCATTTACCTTTTAGTATTTTTATTTATAGAGTCACTTCTGTGACAGTTAATTGATGATGTTGAGGATTCAGGAGTAACTAGTAAGCTCTACACTAATAGTTTTCCCATGTGATTTTGAATAAAAATGTTTTGTCTGCCAGTCTTCAGGTAAGGAAAGAATGGGCATATAAATATTACCCTACCTCAAGTTGTAGATATTTTATATTTTTCTAATATAAAACATATATATCCTCAGTCAGTATTAGAGTTAGAAAAAAATAAAAAGAAAGTAGTATTCCTAGCTGCATAGATTAACCCTTTCCTAATAAGTATCTGTTTAATGGACAAAAACAAACCCTTGCCTGGCCGTTTTTTTGGTTTCTTTTTTGGCCTGGCTGTTTTGAGATTTGGTCTGGCATGCTCAGTGGCTTAGGCAAAATAACCCTCTGTGGGTCTTTATTTACTCTTCTGTAAAAGATCCCTTCCGGAACCAAGATTGCAACAGTCTATCCTAGGTAGCCTTGAAAATTCAAAGAGGAGACATGTTTGAAGGATATAAGAAGAAAGAAAAGAGGCAGCTATTAGGATGTTTTGAACATTGAAGATAAGCTTTTCGGGAAAAATAAATGATCAAAAAAATGTGTTTTCCTTCTAGGTCGTATGTATGACTACCATGTGCTAGATATGATTGAATTAGGTATTGAGAAGTTTGTCTCTCTAAAAGATATTAAGGTAAGATACTGATAAAAATAAGAAACATTTTGTAATGTTTCTCTTGGGCAATAGTGACATCTTGTGGTGAAGAGTTGATAATAGTTTGGTAGCTTAAGTAAGAAAGAACTTTGTTTTTATACTAGTGTGGTCTAAGATAAAAGTACAATTTAATTTTACCTTTACTTTAAACAGTGTAATGTATTTATAGTATATAACACAGGTGGGTCTCCTAGTAATTAGCCTTCAGAGTGGTTACTAACTCTTGTCTAGGCCCATGGTTTAAATGCTACCTCCTCTCTCTGCATTATCACAGCATCTATTTTATAGAACTACAGAAATACTAGAATTTCCAAAGTGAGCCCTGTTCCAAACCTAGGAAGCTTTAACTGATCCTACAGTATTTTGGCTCCTACCTAACAAATTGCTAGTTAAGTCCTCCCCTTAAGGACTTGCATTTTTGTGTCTCTTTTATTTGAATGGGATTAAAAAACAGAAAACAGTAAGTCTTAGAGAGGCAAGAGAACTGTCCTAATTCAGCTCCTGGGTCCAAATTGGGCTTCTGTTCCCTCAGAACTCTGTTTCTTGGCTTAATCTATTCCATCAAATACATGATTTACTTAGACCTCATAGCTCCCCTATGAAAGGCTGAGATTATTTTCCTTATTGTAGAGATTTAGAGATTGAAGCCGAGAGGAATTCCGTTGGTGACTTAGAGTCAGATATATGGTAAATGGTATAACCAGTTAGGACTCAAGGACTTTGGAAGAAAGGTTATTGAAGTGTGTAATTGGAAGTTATACATTATTCTCAGTATTCTTTTGTGTGTGTGTGTTTTTTTTATATATTTATTGATTTTTTACAGAGAGGAAGGGAGAGGGATAGAGAGTTAGAAACATCGATGAGAGAGAAACATTGATCAGCTGCCTCCTGCACACCCCCTACTGGGTATATGCCCGCAACCAAGGTACATGCCCTTGTCAGGAGTCGAACCTGGGACCCTTGAGTCTGCAGGCCGATGCTCTATCCACTGAGCCAAACCAGTCAGGGCTATTCTCAGTTTTTGTGTCTTTGACGGTCGTGGTATATTGAAAGAATTATAGCATATATGTAATGAATACTCTCCCCAACCTCTCTAAAAAGAGGACATGCCTTCCAGGTTTCCTGTGGGTTTGAGAAAAGGCTCTTACCAGATCCCCCCTTAGCTACACCAGTGTCTTCAGGTACAGTGCAGAACAGTGGCCTGAGATTGGATTTAGAGGCAGAACACTTGGCTTTGAGGCCTGTCATAGCTGTTTAGATGATTTGTGACCTGCTACAGTCAGTTACTTCCCTGACCCTCAATTGCAATCAACTATTAAATAGGTATAACAACAGCAAATGAGAGAATGTATGTGAAAATGCTTATCATTGAAAATAACGTATTGGAAGGCATTTTGGAAAGTGTGTAAACAGTGATGCTTTATTATGGTGGAAACCATCGCTTTTTACAGTGTCTTTTTGGGGATGTGCACAAATCCCTGGAGATGAGCAGCATGTCCCCATTTTACCTTTGCCACTGCTGCTAGCTTGCTGGCTTGGTCACCAGTTAGTGGGCTTGAGCATTGGCTATTGCATGCATGCCAACTCCTCTACTCTTTCCACTTCACTTCCAAAGCAAAGAACTACTTCTATCACTGTGCAGCTTGTAAACTGGACCACAACTTGTTTTTCAGGTCTCTCTCTCTCTTTTTTTTTTAAATATAATTTTATTGATTTCAGAGAGGAAGGGAAAGGGAGAGATAGGAACATCAATGACGAGAGAGAATCATGGATTGGCTGCCTCCTGCACGCCCCACACTGGGGATCAAGCCCGAAAACCAGGCATGTGCCCTGACCGGGAATGGAACCCAGGACCCCTCGGTCCACAGGCCAACTCTCTATCCACTGAGCCATACAAGCCAGGGCTTTGGGTCGTCTCCTTTTTAAAAAAAATTCTCACCCGAGGATATTTTTTCATTGATTTTTAGAGAGAGAGTGGAAAGAAGGAAGGAGGAAGGGAGGGAGGGGGAGAGAGAGAGAGAGAGAGAGAGAGATCAATGTGAAGGAGACACATTGACTGGTTGCCTCCCGGGGCCGGAGATCAAACTTGCAACCAAGGTCCCCTTTTGCCGGGGTTCTTGTCCCAGCATCTAGAAGGTTCAGGAATCTGGAGAAGGCTGTGTGTAGATTAAATAGGAGTCCAGAGACAAAGCATAATTTTGAAAGGCATTTGGGGGTCAGAGGAGCTTAGCTAAAGGAGCAAGTTCAGTAGAGTGTCGGCCTGTGGACTGAAAGGTCCCGGGTTCGATTCCGGTCAGGGGCACATGCCCGGGTTGTGGGCTCAATCCCAAGTAGGGGGCGTGCAGGAGGCAGCCAGTCAGTGATTCTCTCATCATTGATGTTTCTATCTCTCTCTTCCTCTCCCTCCCTTTCTGAAATCAATAAAAATATTAAGTTCTAAGATCTAAGGTCTCTAGGTCCCCTCATCCCAGGACACCATGCTTTTTATTAACACAACTTGTCCTGAGGCGAGGCAGAGGTATACACATCGAAGGGTCAGGGTTTCTTAGAGTCCATTGTCAGAATGGGGGAACGGCTGTTCAGGTGTTTGGCCAGTAGGAGGCAATAACATGTAGATTAAGATGCCTTTTAGCTGTCTGGCAGCCAAGCAATCATCCCTTTTCAGGTTTGGGAAAATGCCTTCAGCCCTTCCCAGATGCAGCCCTGCTGTCATGCTGGAATTGGTCTCTGGCACCCTTTTACTGGGAATCAGGTCCATGGCCCTTAAGACTGTGGGCCCATGCTCTAACCACTGAGCCAGAGCTCAGGTGTCTTTCTTAACAAGAACCATTTAAACTGAACACTAAGTTTTTATTCATGGAGCATATCAATAATTAGAAAATTCATTAATTGCTGAGTATATGCTTACATTGGCAATCCTGCACAGACGGTTAGTCAGCCCTTCACTTTTTACCCCATCATTTGGTTACAAGCTTTTATTTTTAGTCTATTTTGGATTGCATGCTTTGTTCTACTTTGTCTCTATATTTGTTTTTTCTTTACTTTGACTCCTCATTTTTAAGGCATCTTCACCAGATATTTCTTTTCTCACTTGCCTACTTTTATTGCCAAGCCTCATTCCTCTGTTAACTCTTTTTTTTTTTTTTTTTTTTTTTTTTAAGGAACATTAGATTAGACTCGACCAGGAAACAGAGTGATTATTCTAGGCGCCTGTTTTCTAAGATGGCCAAACTGCTAGGGGTGGTTTTTCTGCATAAAATAAACCTTAATGAGTGAGATGATTAAAATTTAAGGCTAGTTGATTTTATATTAGGTAATATATCACAATTTCCCCGGATATTTTACTTGAAAAGTTTGTGTGTAATTTATAAGAATTATTTTTCTATTTTTTTCTTTGTTTAAAGATACTTAATTTAAAAGGTTATTCAAGGACTTAATAATTATAGTATTTTTAGTATACTATGTCATAGAATTTATATATTATTTAGAATTTTAGTACCTTTCAGGCTATTGGAATAAAGCTCTTTTGTTGTAGTTTCTTCTAGTTCAGGGTTTTCACATTGTGAAAAATATCAGTGATCTACATAAGTACTGTTTCACATAACTTGTTTAGTTATATTTTTATGATGTGTATACTGGGTCATGGCTTAAAATAGTATTTTTTATTACTATGCACTGTGGTCAGAATGGTTTGAAAGTCAAAGTTGTACTTGGGTTGCCTCACTTTTTCTTAGTACTTAATAGCCCCTGTGGACCTAGCGGTAGCAGTAGGAGGGTCAGGTAGGACAGATGGAGCACAGCGGAGTCATTGGATCTGGAAAGTCCATTTAGGCCCTGGATCAGACAGACAGCTTAGGCCAGTGATGACGAACTTATGACACGCGTGTCAGAGGTGACATGCGAACTCATTTTTTTGGTTGATTTTTCTTTGTTAAATGGCATTTAAATATATAAAATAAATATCAAAAATATAAGTCTTTGTTTTACTATGGTTTCAAATATCAAAAAATTTCTATATGTGACATGGCACCAGAGTTAAGTTAGGGTTTTTCAAAATGCTGACACACCGAGCTCAAAAGGTTCGCCATCACTGGCTTAGGCACATTTCCTAAGTATAGACAGTTAAGTCTCAGGATTTGGAAGCACAGAATGCCAACTATAATAGTCATGGTGAACAGGGAAGCAGCAGGTGACTTCTGATCCTACAACAGAGGATGTTTGTTTTTTTTGTCCTATTTTGTTTTGTGGTTTTTTTGGTTTTTTTTCCTGCTAAATTTGGATAATCCTGGAAGTGCCCGGCTAGCTCAGTCGGTAGAGCATGAGACTCTTAAATTTGGATAATCTTGATTGATGTCAGAGCAGTGGTATTAGAATCAGTGGGAAGCTCAGACCAATAACCGTTTACCGTCCTCTATAAATTAATCTTTCATTTAAAGAATTTTTTTCTATTTGATTTTCTTTCACTTTGGTGGCCTTTAAATGTAAATCCTCTTATTACTTACATCACATTCTTCTTGGTATAAAAAAATCCAGAACTGGACAAAATAATTTTTCTAGTAAGAGCTTGAACCCTGCTGAGTAAGGATTAGCACATACTTTCTATAGCTTGTATACAATTATTGGTTTCCATGTAAATGTTTAGTTGGTAGTTTAATTGAACTTTCATTTAAAAACACTGTTTATGTGATATAGTAGGAAAGGCACAGCAGGACAAATAATTCAAAGAAATTTATTTTGAATCTGGCTATTAGAGGGCTGTGTTTTTGTTTTTTTGTTTTTAGTAAGTTTAGCTTTTTATTTTATTCTTGCATAGAATAATGTTAGCAAGTAGCTTAGATCATTCTTTGACCACATATTAATTTGGCAGTGTGAGAGAGTGGAATGAAAAATTACTTTTAATATAAAAATCTGTAAGTTTAAAAACCCCAACTCTGGTTTTAAGTCTAAAATCAGCATGCATAGACAGTTTTAGGACAGTTTAGAAAATCTAAGAATGAATTCATTACATATTAAGTATCAGTTACTTTAAAATCAGCATATAAACAATTTAGACTTGATAATTATATAATTACATTTTTTTGTTTCATAGAATAGTAAATGCCCTGAGGGAACAAAACCCATGTTAATATTTGCTGGTAATGATTTTGATGTAACAGAAGACTACAGAAGGCTAAAAAGTCTTCTTATTGGTAAGTGTTTTAATACTTATTATCTGCAGGATAGCTCAGGTAGGTATTATAAGACTGTCATTGGTGGCACTTTGCCACTTAACTCTAGGTATACAGCTTTTTAAAAAAAATCTCCTTTCTCTTTTCCCTTTTCATTATTTTCTCTATTCCCCACTACCAGGGGAGAGTTAAAGGGATGTTATATTCTATTGAGCATAATTATTTTCTTGATGCTATAGTAACTTTGGTATCAACCTATTTATATAGCATTTTTACACTTTATAAAATACCCACACCCATCTCCTGTCATTATCGACATCATCAAATTCAATTTTGGTGAAAATTGAAAAGTTTTCAAGATGGTTATACATCATTCACTTCCATTCAAAACCTCTATTAGTTTTTCTTAATCTGATATACAAGGCTTTTCATACTATAACTTGCTTTCTTGATCTCCCCCCATTTTCTTTCTTCCTTTTCCATTAAAAGTGGTTTATTGAAAATATGTTACACATATTCCTATTGTTTTTTTCTGATTCCATTCTTATTTATCTGTTTTCTTCTATTCTTGCAAATCTCAGTTCTTGCCCAGGAAATCCTCAGTGGCCTCCCAACTCCTTTTATTTCATGATCATTATCATAAACACCAAGCACATACTAGGTACTTTTTACATAGTGCTTCATTCTCACAATAACCTTATAAGACTGTTTTTTTTTTTTTTAAATTTTTATTGATTTTTTGCAGAGAGGAAGGGAGAGGGATAGAGAGTTAGAAACATCGATGAGAGAGAAGCATCGATCAGCTGCCTCCTGCACAACCCCTACTGGGGATGTGCCTGCAACCAAGGTACATGCCCTTGACCAGAATCGAACCTGGGACCCTTCAGTCCCCAGCCCGACGCTCTATCCAGTGAGCCAAACCGGCTAGGGCCCTTATAAGACTGTTTTATAGATGACTTATTCTTAGTGAAATATGCTAGTTCCTAATTATGTGATGACTACATTCTTTCCTATATGTTCTCAAGTTGCCTTCTTAAAATCTAATACACAGTTATTGTCATCATCTAGGATTGACATTAATTTTACCAGTTTTAAACAACTTTTTCTCTCTTTTTTAAAAAGCTGGCATAATTGTTCTCCATGATTTCTTAAATGGTACTAATACTTAATATTATGCAATCACATCTTCCAGCTCTTATCTAATCCTGGAAAGAAATTTAGTTTGTAACTAGAGGTACAGACGCTTCTGATACTCAGCATTATCTCAAGTTTAAATTTATTTCATTTGAGCTTTTCTTGCATCATTCTTACCAGCTTATGGGCTAGGCCATATACATTTTTGGTTGCCCTTCTTTTGGATTTTTACATACTTTGCCCTAGATCACTTTTGAAAAGTTTGTGGGGTATATATTATAAACAAACTGTATACTTACTCTTTACAGATGAGCTGACCAGAAAAGGGTGTGTGGACAGACACATTACTTTTATTTTCCTTATCAGGATTATTTATGTTCTTAGTGCTGGGTTTACAATTTTCAAAACTTCTCATTTTTAAAAAAATATATTTTTATTGATTTCAGAGAGGAAGGTAGAGGAAGAGAGAGAAACATTAATGATGAGAAAGAATCATTGATCAGCTGTTTCCTGCACGCCCCCTACTGGGGACGGAGCCCACAACCTAGGCATGTGCCCTGACTGGGAATGAAACTGTGACCTCCTGGTTCATAGATCAGTGCCTAACCACTGAGGCATATCAGCAAGGCCTTTTCTTTTTTTAAGAACCTCTCATTTTTAATAAATGACTATTTTTAGAAAACCCAGTACCACTATAACCTCCTTAATCCTTTCTAGAGTTCTTGAGTTTGGTGACATTCCATTTTATAGATGGGAAAATAGAGGCTCAGAGAGGTTAAGAGCTATTAAGTAGGTGAACCAGGATCAAAACCCAATGCCTGAGTTTCTGCTTCTACTGTCCATCATGTGATAATGAACATTTCCTTTGCAGAGTCATTGCCACTTTTTATGTCTTAAAAAATCAGGCATGAAAGACAATGACCAAAATTTATTTCTTTCAATATTATGCACCCCAAAGTAAAAAGGTTGTTTTTCCAGTTAAGATTGCTATTACTTGTACTGGATTGGCCCAGATTTCCTGTTCTTTGCCCTCTAATTCTTCCAATTAATTATTAATAGTCAGTGACGGTGGTACTTATAATTTGTTAGAACAGAGAGTGCTTTTGTTGAAATGGTTTTTATAAAAAACGATCTTATTGTTTTGTGCTTCTATTAGGTGGCAGTAATAACCACATATTGCAGTGATGAGGGGGAGGGAGTGAAAACCATAAAGGAATCTGGGGAAAGAAGAAAGGTAGAGGAATGGAGTGAGATTGTTGGGTACCAAAGGAAGTTGGGTTTTTAATACTCAATTGCAGCTGCAGACTTCTGGTTTATATTTGTGTTCAAATGAAATAAAGTAGAGCAGTAGGGAAAGAGACTTTTATCAAGGATTTTTTTCCTTCTAGGAAGTGTGTGTGTGTGTGTGTGTGTGTGTGTGTATAATTGGCCAGAAAGAAAAGTTAACTTCGTAACTTCAGTATTTTCATGGCAGGTACCCATTTTGTTCCTGAGTTTTGCTTCTGTTTTGCTTTTTAAAAATACTATATAGATTTGTGGTTAATCTTAGTGGGTCCTACCAGCTGGCCAACCTCCCGCAGCCCCACCCCTGATTGCCCCCCCGCCCTTCTGGGCAGTCCAGCCCCAATTGGAGGCAGGGCCAGTGGCCAACCTCCTGCAGCCCCTCCCCCCGGCCAGCCCGTCCTCAATCAGCTCCAATTGGGGTGGACCGGCCGGACCCCACCGGTGCACAAATTCATGCACCAGGCCTCTAGTATATAAATGTTTTTATTGATTTTTAGAGAAAGAGGAAGGGAGAGGGAGAGAGAGATGAGAGAAGAAACATCATCAATTGGCTGCCTCCTGCACACCCCCACCAGGGATTAAGCCTGCAATCCAGGCATATCCCCTGACTGGGAATCGAACCAGTAACCTTTTGGTTTCATGGGTCAACACTGAAGCACTGAGCCACACTGGCCGGACTAACTTATGAATTTTGAGAAACACAGGCATTCAGTTCATTATGGAAATAGTATTCCCATGTTGTGGATGAAGAGATTCAGGCCAGTTAATTTACTTGTTTGGAGTGAAGAGCTAGTAAGTGGTAGAATCAGGGTCTGATCTGTTCTCAGACTCTGATCCCTGGCTCTTTTCCAATGTATTTACTTAATGGACACAGCCACATATCAGATCTTATTTTTGCTTAGAATTGACCCATTGACAAAAATGTCCAAACTGGGGCTTTCCTTCTGACTATAACCAATTTATCTTCTACCTCTTCCACTTCCTTAGTTATATCTAACTGGGTTGTTTTTTTTATTCCTATACTCATAATATCTCCCATTTTAATTCAGCCATCATTTTTGCCCATTTTAAGGTGAGCCTTTTCAGCAGTGTCCTGAGGTTCTATATACTGTAATCCATCACCCCTTTGATGTTTCAAACTTTTCTTGTACTTTTAGTGCCCCAGTCCTGGGATCAGCTATTTCTCTAAGGAGCCCTGGTATTTTTGGTTTTGGTGTGTTTTTTAAGTTAGGAATTATCTTAGAAATCACAGTCTGGGTGCTATGGACTGTTTCTGGGTTGGTCATTGTTTCTAGGCTTTTTTAGTGGACAGAACTATGAAATATGTTTGTTTGATAATATAAAATATATCCTGAGTTCATACTGAAACTTCTAACTCAAATTTAGGACACAACGATCTTAACTTCATTAACTTCACATTGTCACCTTGCATTCATGACAAAAATTCAGGTTCTTAGTGTCTTCAACATAATTATACATTTACTTTATACTGTACTACACACACAACAGTCTCAGCATAAAATGCCACTGTTAGCAATGGTTATATGACTATTGAGTGCAGGTAAAGTTTTTTTGTTTTTTGTTTTGCAGTTGTCTTTCTAAGATACATTGTGTTGGGAAGATATGGTCAAATTCCTGTGTTTTTATTTTATTTTAAATATATATTTTTATTGATTTCAGAGAGGAAGAGAGAGGGAGAGAGAGATAGAAATATCAATGATGAGAGAAAATCATTGATTGGCTGCCTTCCGCACACTGGGGATTGAGCCCACAACCTGGGCATGTGCCCTTGACCAGAATCAAACCCGGGACCCTTCAGTCCACAGGCTGATGCTCTATCCACTGAGCCAAACTGGCTAGGGCAAATTTCTGTGTTTTGAAGTTGCTTGAAATAGTTCTTTTCTGTATGATTATGCCTGCAGCTCAAAACACAGGTTCATTTCTTTTCAATATTTAGAGGTTACTTTAAATTTTTTCATTTTAAGTTATTTTTAAACAACTTATTTTTAAGATTTTTTTATTATTATTGATTTTAGAGAGAGAGGAAGGGAGAGGGAGAAGGGAGAGACGGATAGAAACATCGATGAGAGAGAAACATCAGTCGGCTGCCTCCTGCACGCCTCCTACTGGGGATCGAGCCCGAAACCTGGGTATGGTCCCTGACCCTGAGTTGAAATGGCAACCTTGTGGTACATGGGATAACACCCAACCAACTGAGCCATAGGGGCCAGGGAATTAAACAGCTTTTGAGGTATAAGTTACAGTCAAGTACACATTTGAAGTTTCAAAATTTGATGGATTTTGACATATGTATACACCTGTGAAAACCATTGCAGTCAAGATACAGAACCTTTCTTTCCATCACCTCCCCAAATTTCCCTGCACCCCTTTGCAATCCACCCTTTTTCTCTATTCTAAGCCAACACTGATGTGCTTTCTGTCATTATAGATTAGTTTGCATTTTCTAGAATTTTAGATAAAAGGAATCATATAGTGTGAACTTTTCTTGGCCTGGCTTCTTTACCTAATTGTTTTTTAGTTTTGTCCATGTTGTTGTATCCGTAATCATTTCTTTTTATTGTCGAGTAGAATTCTATTTATAGCTGTTTCATAATTTGTTTATCCCTTAATCTGTCAATAGACATTTATGTTCATTCCAACTTTGGACTATTATCAGTAGAGCTGTTATGAATATTTATATACAAACTAGAGGCTCAGTGCATGAAATTCGTGCACGGGTAGGGTCCCTAGGCCTGGCTGGCAATCAGGGCTGATCAGGGCATTCCTTCCCCAGGGTGCTGGCTGCGGTCCAGGGCCTTCCTTTGTTCTGTGTCGCCCCCTAGTGGTCAGCACACGTCATAGTGAGTGGTTGAACTCCTGGTTGGTCAAACTCCTGAGGGGACAATTTTCATATTAGCCTTTTATTATATAGGATTTTTGTAAGGGCATATGTTTTCATTTCTATTAGGTAAATAGCTAGGAATAGAATGGTAGTCATTTGAATAGTCCATGTTTAACATTTTAAGAAACTGCCAAACTGCTTTCCAATGAGGTTGTCCCATTTTACATTCCCATCAGCAGTTTATGAGAGCTCCAGTTGCCCCACTACTTGCCAATACTTGGTAGACCATTGGGTGTTGTATCCTGATAGTAATGTGTTTCTAAAGTTAGATCTACAAAATAAAGTATTGTTATCATTGTAACTTTAATTTGTATTTTCTAATTATTAATGATGTTGAATATCTTTTTATGTGCTTATTGGCCATTCATATATCTATGGTGAAGTATCAATTCAAATCTTTGCCTGGTTTTTAAAATTCGGTATTTAGTCTTATTATCTATATACTAGAGGCCCGGTGCACAAAAATTTGTGCACTGGCAGGGTAGGGGGGGTGGGGGGGTGTCCCTCAGCCCCACTTGTGCCCTCTCACAGTCTGGGACCCCTTGGGAGATAACCACCTGCAGGCTTAGGCCCGCTCCCCGGGTGGCAGATGGCCGGCCCGATCCCTTGGTGCCTGCCCTGCCTCCCCGGGTCGCGCACACGGCAGGGCCGATCCAGGGGTTGGGGCGCCGCCCGGGGTCGCACACATGGCAGGGCCAATCGGGGGTTGGGGCGCCGCCCTGGGTCGGGTTGCACACGGGACACCCCGGGCGGGTGGCACATGGGACGCCCGGGCAGGCCAGCCGATCACTGCTGCCCTGCCCGGCCGCCCCGGGTCGGGTCGCACACGGATGCCCACGGCCCCGGGTCGCAGATAGCAGGCCCGGATGGCAGCAGGACAGGTGGGATGGCACTGTCCCGTCCTGCCTGCAGTATGCAAATTAGCCGCCATCTTTGTTGGTTGTTAATTTGCATATCGCTCTGATTAGCCAATGGGAGGCGTAGCAAAGGTATGGTCAATTACCATGTTTGTCTATTATTAGATAGGAAGGATACAAAAGCCTAAGCGACCTGAAGGACTGGAACGACTGGTCACTATAACACGCACCAACCACCAGGGGGCAGATGCTCAACGCAGGAGCTGCCTCCTGGTGGACAGTGCGCTCCACAGCCAACCTTCCCCAGCCAGCCAACCAGTGTCTCTGTCCACTGTCCATTGGTTATGCTGAGCATTGGTTTGCAGCGGTTCTCAACCTGTGGGTCAGGACCCCTTTGGTGGTCGAACGACCCTTTCACAGGGGTCGCCTAAGACCATCCTGCATATCAGATATTTACATTATGATTCATAACAGTGGCAACATTAGTTATGAAGTAGCAACGAAAATAATTTTATGGTTGGGTCACAACATGAGGAACTGTATTTAAAGGGCCAGAAGGTTGAGAACCATTGGTTTAGAGGAAGAACTTCAAAGCTGAAAAATAAAAATGGCTTAGTAAACTAAACAGAAAATAAAGTCATGAGATTAGTAGAGGGGTTGGATGGAACAGTCAGACATTTTTCAGGGATTAGCTTTATGCTATCTTATCTTTTTAGAAAAGTATTGGTACAAACAGAGCATTTAGAATGCAGCTCTTTATAACTGAATTTTAAAAGCATGTTAGTCTTATAGAAGCATGTAACAGACTGTGGAATCTCAGAGTGAAGGCGGGGGTAGGGAGTGGGTGGGAAGAGATCAACCAAAGAACTTTTATGCATAGATGCATAACCCATGGACACAGACAAATGGCCTGGGATGGGGGATGAGGGTAGGCTACAAGGGATCAATGGGGGGAGGGGAAAGGGGGACATATGTAATACTTGCAACAATAAAGATTTCATTAAAAGAAAAAAAGAGTATGTTAGTCTTTTTTAACAATCTAATATGTGCTTTTAGATTTTTTCAGAGGCCCCACAGTATCAAATATCCGCCTGGCTGGTTTAGAGTATGTCCTACACTTCACTGCACTGAATGGGAAGATTTACTTTCGAAGCTATAAGTAAGTGTATTTCTTAGCATGTTTTTATTAATCCCCATGGTTAGTATTGTAGTGTGACTGTTTTTTAGAGCTCAGACTTAGAATTGATGTTGGGCCAAATGTGTTTTGAGAGCTTGAAGAATACCAGTGCCACAGTCGCTCTGTGCTGAGCCTTAATTTTGCCATTCTCCTTCCTGCTCACTGCTGTCTGAACCTTATTTTTCCAGGGCCCTGGAGACCTATCGCTGCACTCCTTCTGAGCTTAGAGCACTAATGCAGTATTTTTTTTTAAATATATATTTTATTGATTTCAGAGAGGAAGGGAGAGAGAGAGAAACATCAATGATGAGAGAGAACCATTGATTGGCTGCCTCCTGCACACTCCACACGGGATCACGCCTGCAACCCAGGCTTGTGCCTTGACCAGGAATTGAACTGTGACCTGGTTTAAAGATCGACGCTCAACCACTGAGCCACACCAGCCAGACCACTAATGCAGTCTTGACCCTCCCTACCTTTAAGCAGTATCTCCTTAATCTTCTTGACTAGATTTAGAGCACCAAGCCGCAAAGACCTAGGCCAGGCAAAGCAGATTTCAAAACCCTGAGTCTAAAAAAATAGAGTCTGAAAGGAATAAGATTCAGTGCCTATATTCATTTTACCCTCTTTTCTTCAGCCAAGGCCTTCTGTCCTTACCCCCACCACAGCTCATTTTGTTTTTATTAAAAAGTTTAATGACATGCTACAATTGTGCTTTTGAGTTGATAGAGCCCAGGCTTTCCTAGAGAGTACATTGACTCCAACAAACTGCCTTCCTTTGAACACCAACTTCAGACTGATGTTTCCTGTGAATTGTGGCCTGGCAGGGCAGCCTGAAAGCCAGCAGCTTAGTGTTGATAGGTGGTTGACCAGCTTATGTCCAGTGAGCGTCCAAATGAAACTAAATATTCATGTCTTTTGTCAGTATTTTCCATCTTTGTCTCAATTATATTGAGTCAGATATTCAGTTCTTACCATATGACTAATACTACCACCACTTGTTTTTCCATTTTCCTCTCCTTTAAATAATAATAGAAGGAAATGCAATAAAATGTCCACATGACTATAAAATACTAGAGGCCTGGTGCATGAAATTCATGCGTGGGGGGGGGAGCGGGGGGCCTTAGCCCAGCCTGCACCCTCTCCAATCTGGAACCCCTTGGGGGATGTCCGCAGGATTGGGCCTAAACTGGCAGTCGGACATCCCTCTCACAATCTGGGATCTCTGGCTCCTAACTGCTCACCTGCCTACTGGCCTGGTTGCCCCCAACTGCCCCCCTCTGCCGGCCTGGTCA